CTATTCTGACTTTTAAAAAAAGTTTACTTATTTTGAGAGAGAGACGAGGTGCCTGGGTCCCTCAGTCAGTTAAGCGTCTGACTTCAGCTCAGGTCATGATCCTGGGGTTCATGGATTCAAGCCCTGGCATCGGGCTCTGTGCTCAGACCTCAGAGTCTGGAGCCTATTTCATATTCTGTGTCACCCTCTCTCTGTCCCTCCCCCACTCGCATGCACAAGGAAGAGAGAGAAACCCAAGCAGGCTCTGCCTTGTCAGCACAGAGCCCAACGCAGGGATCATCAGTCTCACAAACCTCAAGATCATGACCTGAGCCTAAATCAAGAGTCAGACGCCCAGCTGATTGAGTCACCCAGGCGCCTCTACCATTATTTTAACTTTTATGAGCATTTATTAGTTTTGCCCACTCGATGTATTCTTTTGTGTCTGACTTCTTTCATTTAACAATGTCTGTGAGATTAATTCACATCCTTTGTAAATCAGTTATTTTTCGTTGCTGTTATGTACTATACCACAATTTACTTACCCAATTTACTGTTCATGAATATTTGGGTTGTTTCCATTTTTTATCTATTACAAATAAAGGTGCTAAAATAATTCTTGCACATAGCATAGAAAGGTACACATAAAAACTCATTTCTCTTGAGGATATGCTCAGAAGTAAAACTGCTACATCACAAGATATACAGACAGTCCCAACTCACAAATGGTTCAACTCATAATTTTTTGACTTTACAATAGTGTGAAAGCAAATACACATTCAGTAGAAAACACATTTCAAATTCTGAATTTTGATCTTTTCCTGAGCTTTCAATATACGGCCGATACTCTCACGTGATGCTGGGCAACAGCAACTAGAGCTCCCAGTCAGCCACGTGATCACAGGGTAAACAACTCATAGACTTATAGCCATTCTGAAACCATACAACCAATCTGTTTTCACTTTTAGAATGGTATTAGGTGATTTTGCCCATCTGTAGGCTAATGTGTTCTCATCACATTTAAGGTAGGCTAGGGTAGGCTATGACATACAGTAAGTTCTGTGTACTAAATGCATTTTAGACTTATGGTATCTTCAATTTATAATGGGCTTATTGGGACAGAACTCCATCATCAGTCCAGGAAGATCTATATAAATAAAATATATGGCTACATCTTTAATAGAAACTAACATCTTTCCAAAGGACACTCTCATAAGCAAGTAAATGAGAGAGTTCTAGTTGTGCTACAATTTTTGTCAATACTTGCTTCGTATTGTTGGTATTTTTTTTTTAACGTTTATTTTATTTTTGAGACAGAGAGAGACAGAGCATGAACGGGGGAGGGACAGAGAGAGAGGGAGACACAGAATGGGAAGCAGGCTCCAGGCTCCGAGCCATCAGCCCAGAGCCCGACGCGGGGCTCGAACTCACGGACCGTGAGATCATGACCTAAGCTGAAGTCGGATGCCTAACCGACTGAGCCACCCAGGCGCCCCGTATTGTTGGTATTTTAAATTTTAGCCATCCTACTGGGCTCTTTACATGTCTTGGGAGCATTCTGGTATCTTCTCCAAAGTATCTTTTGCTCATTTTTCAAATGGATAGGATTTTTTTTTAATATTTTAAAATTATTTTTGCCAAGAAGAGATGTTTTGCAATCTGAGCCAAGGATTGGAGAACACAGGCTTGGATAAAGGAGATGAAATCTAAGAGTGAATGACTAAGAAAAGAAGCCAGAATAGAAACCCCAGGAAATACTTAAGGAACTAGCATAAAAAATAAAAACCCCTGGGGGGAAAATGATCAAAGGGTAGTAGAAAAATAATGACAGAAGTGCTGTCAGCAAAGAAACAAAAAGGACATTTCAAGAAAAGAAATGGTCCTTGTTAAACGGAAACACACAGGAAAGAGGTCACATAGTCAGTTGGTAGCCTCCTACTGCCAACCTTTCCTCCAAGCCTCTCCACTGTGCTCTCTAGAACGCTTCTTAAAGATAAATGTCCCCTCCTTTCCTGAACTGACACTGGGCTCTCCCTATTTATAATCCTGCTTCAAAGCCTTCTCAGAGGGTTCCTCCTTGCTTACTCTCTTGCTTTATATCAAAGCTATTCCTAATCAACAACTTCTCTGCATTTTGGCCCCCTGAGCACTAGTAAATCAATAAATGTATCTTCTATTTGCCAGTGCTAGGTGATTTTAATATTCAGACATGACACATCCCAGAG